CAGTGTTTGATGGAAGATCTGTCGGATGAATTGTCCGAAGTCGAGAATATCGTCAACGGCTGATTTTAATTTTGTTGTAGATACAGTTTTGCAATTTTATAATATAATAGACTATATTACTTCCTTTTGGTGCTGCCATATGTTGAACGATCAACCATTTGCTCGCACTGTTCAATGTGCGCTGAAGCTGTTTAGTTGTCGCAGCATCCACCGGTGACAGAAGACGAAAGAGTCGATGGAATGAGGCGATTGAGGCATCTAGGTTGCGGACATGCTGAGTAAACTGCGAAGCTTGGAGAGGCTCAATTGAAAGTGTCACAATGGTCACGCACATTGGTCACACACCGAACGGATTCAGGACGCTTTTAAAGGTCCAAAATAGTCAGTGATGCGGCGATTCTTGGAGATATCTGGGAAAAAGTCAGTGATGAGGTGGTTCTTGGATAGATCTGGAAGGGGAACCCAACCTCCTAAACCCAATTTGCCAAAACCAAGTGGTTCGCTTCCTCGGTTGATAAAAGTCCGGTCGAATTCGACAAGCTGGTCACATACCAGCAAGGCATTGCAGCTGCCATCATTCTGTCAAATTGCATTCGACCAATGGCGTAATCCCCCGATGTTACCATGCCACGAATGGCATTTTTCCAGAGCTTCGGGTTATTGTTGCCATCTTTGGAATCCACGAAACATATTCCAATATCCCAGATTTTCTTCCAGACTTTGTCTTTCCGTGCCTTTTTTTGCTCGTAACAATCGGATCTTGTGAAGTTCGTGCTGAGAAAGTTCTAGCTCGGAAAGGTCGTCTTCGTCCATGTCTTCATACGACCAGTAGCTGTATTCTCTTCTCTTGTTTCCTGTTTTGACAGGGGGATCATTGGAGTAGCTGGTATCGGAATCGTCATCGACAACGGAATTGGCCTCGTCTTGGCTGCAAAAATCACCATCAGCCGCAAGCCGTAGCAGAAGATCTTCATCCAGATACCCATGTGGACTTCCAATGATTGATACCCCGTTCTAAAATGACATATCCAAGCTCCTCATGATGAGATAGTGTAGTACCACATCCGTCCTTGGGATCATCTCCGCCATTCTCCGAACTAAAGGTGTTGTAAATCATTTGCCTGAGTTCATAAACTGGATCTTGGATGGTATCACTGTGACAAAGAAACCAACCGACACAGTATTCTTGCTCCTTCTTCTTCTTCTTCCCAAGGCCAAACATTCCACTGGAAACAATTTTGTAAGCCTTCCAAGTTCCATTCTTGGCCACAAACTTGGTCGAGTAGCAACCCCGATGGTTCGACATGCAAATGGCAGCCTGCTCAAAATCCATGGCTTGGCTTGCGGCCGATTCAGCAATCTCAGTGGACAGACCAACGCAAATTTTGCCAGAAGTCACCTGCATAGTTTGATCTGCTTTCCATTCTCGTCCAAGGTCGGCATGTGATGATGATGCTATATTGGGTATTCCAATCGGCGCCGGAGTTTCTCCATCACCTGTTGATCACGCTCCAGTCTCTCTCGCTCCCATTCACAATCTAGTTTTCGTCGACGTTTCTCCTGTTGCTCTTCGTAATGCTTCCGCCGTTCTGCTTTGGTCCCCTGCTTCTTCGCTTTTTGTTTGAGTTGTTGCGACGACGTCCTCTTCATCTTCCTTTTCGTATTCGATCAGCATTTTTATTTTGAATGACCAACATTGTTAGCTCGCGCGATAAAAACGCGCAGTCGTGTGAATCAATCTTTTCAACAAAATCTCATCTGTGACACACAATTTTTTAAAACTGTGCAGTTTTAAAACTGATAATCGAAGATTACCCGGCGCCGCCTCCACTCCTGGGCTTGAATCGCATGATGTAGTCTTTGTCTGGAGAGATCGCGCACGTATGCTACCATGGAAACTGTGGCAAAAGCCTGATGCTACATACGAGAAGCGAGTAGGTTTGGCACAGTAGCGAGGTACTAAGTTAGTGACTGGTTTGCACCGAGGTCGAATCATAGGATTCGAAAAGGACAATCAATAGGATTGACAGACAGACCCGGACCAAATGGGGTACCGAGCTATGGTGCAAATGAGAGAGAGGGTGGTGAGGGCGGGAAAAACAAAAAAGCTGACGGTCTTGACCGAGCAGCTAAACTCCTTCTATCGCCTCCATCATCCCACAAGCTCCCATTGCGAACAATGTCTTCTCCAATCTTCCGTCCTCTTCGTCGACACTCTTCGCTCCGTCCGCCAACCGTGTACTTCACTGAAGCGACGCGCCGTAATCGACACGACGGAAATTGAGACTAAGGAAGAGCTAGAAACGCCCATACGTCTCCCGTCTTGCCGATCAAGTGACGCAGTTTCAAAACTGAGATTATGGTCACAGCAATCTTAAAACTGGCACAAGCCAGCCACGCCCCAACCTTGGTTCCCACTATTTCTGCAGAGGTTGTTATCTAGAGCGGTTCTGATTCTGT